TGTGAATCAATAAAGCCAAAAATTGAGCCTTTCAAAAAGCTAATAAAGTGGATACATCTCTAGTAGGACTGATCAAGAAAAAAGATAAAAGCAAAAATGAACAAAAATGAGAAATTATAGAATCAGTAGAGATCTGAGTTAATAATGGAATACAACTTTATTCCAATAAATTTGAAAACTTATACAACAGACAAATTCCTAGAATAATGATTTATTAAACTGGCTCAAGACAAGTATGAAAAGCTAATCTGTGATGACCAATATGATCATCATGTGGCTACTGATCAATTGAAACATGGATAGTCCAACTAAGGGACTGGATTTTAAACTTTATTTAATTTTAACTAATTTAAATGTAAGAACTGGAACAGTGGAAAAAAAAAAATTTCCATTAAGCACAACTTGATTGCTTGTGACTACATTTCACTTTCACTGTTGTACTGAGTAAGACATTATTGTTGCATGGAAGTGTTTTTGTTGGATGTGTACATCATTTATATAAACATATCACCCATGTAGTTGGAGTGAATGGACCAATTCAATTTGAATGATTTTTTTTCTATGTACAAATGTAATATTGTATTGTGTGTATTTGAATATTCTATGAAGACATAAAAATGGTAATTAAATTGAAATACTTAATATATTAACTATAATATAATTAAGCTATTCTTGTAATTTAAAAAATAAGCATGGAGAAATATTTAATTTTAAATAAAGGCATACTATTGATACAGAATTATGTGACAATGCAGAAGCTAGTACCATGACCAGAACAGTAAAGGAAAAAGAGACTGAAAGAAGGTAGGTCACAAATATGACGAATGGCACTTGTAAAGCATCAAAGCTGTTTGTTGACATGTGATGATATAATTGTTCTGACTGCTATTGTAATATATGCTATATATTGTTTTAAACATGTCTCAGTTTTCATTTTTAATATGGTATAAATAACAACAACATATTAGAAATATAACCCACCAAAAAAACTCTGTCTTCAATAATTTTTAAGAGAGTAAAGGAGTACTAGGAGCTCTGGTGGCATAGTGCCTAAGGCATCTGACTGCTAACCAGAAGGCTGGCGGTTCAAACCCACCAGCCACTCCTCGGAAGGAAGATGAGGGAATCTACTTCTGTAGAGATACTGCCTCAGAAACCCAAGGAGGGGTTGCTATGAGTCGGATCCGACTCCACGGCAGTGCATTGCCTTTTTGTTTAAAGGGGTACTGAGGAGCCCCTGGATGGCACAAATGGTTAAAGGCCCAGCTGGTAGTTGAAAGGTTGGTGGTTTGAATCTATCCAGAGCCATCTAAGAAGACAGGCCTGGAAATCTGCCTCCTAAAAGTCACAGTCTTGAAAACCTTATGGAGCAGTTCTATACTGCACTTATGGATTCACCATGAGTTAGAATCCATTTGATGGCAACTAACAAAAACAAAGGATTCTTTTTTTTTTCCCCCCAACAAAGGCTTCTTGAGATCACAGTTTTTGAGAACTGCTGATATACAGCCTAGAAAGGCACAGTTCAGGTGGAATGTTATTGTGGTATTGAGAACCAGCAGGATTTATTGTTGTTGTTGATGTTATGTGCTGTCGAGTTGGACCCGACTCATAGCGACCCCTCCTCGGGTTTCCAAGGCAGTATCACTACGGAAGTAGATTGCCCCATCTTCCTTCACAGGAGTGGCTGGTAGGTTTGAACCGCCAGCCTTCTGGTTAGCAGTCAAGTGCCTTAGGCACTATGCTACCAGAGCTCCTGCAGGATTTATTAGAACATTTTAAAATGAGAAATAGCCTTACAGTTGGCTTCGTCTTTATGAAAACTCCATATTTCTTCCCCCCCAATACTTCTTCCTCCTATTGTAGTGCCCCACTAGGCCTGTTTTGCTTGAGTTTGGGATTAGGGAATTCTAATATTTTAGGCTCTTCCTTCCTTTTCCCACATTCAGACCAATTTATCCTGTGTCTAGTTTCTTGGCAACTGAATATAATGTGGCAGCTTTCCTAGGTGACAATTTACATGTTTAACAAATAATTTTTGAAGATATAGTCACTTAATTCAATAGAGTTATTATTTTAGTCAGAGGAATAAGGAAAGTGAGGGCAGTAGAAATCCACTATGAATACTCTGAGAATCTGAACAAACTGAGCCACAGACACCACAGGGCTAATAAATGAGGCTCTTTGGGATGACAGCAGCTCAAGCCAATTTCTACTGCAACTTTTGCACTCAAGGGATTTCCTAACAGGGATGCCTCTCAGCATCCTTCTCTTGTATGGATGAGCTCAATGGGCTTCCAGGACCATCAGTGTGGCTGGTGACTGACTGGGGTATAGCTTTATATCCTCTGATGATCATCTACAAAATCTCAAAGAGGAAGTCTTATAAAACATCTGAGTCTCATAGGCACAGATTGCATCTCTCAGGCACTGTTGTGGAAAAGAGGGTGTTATTTCCTTTAATATTGCTTTTTTCCCCCTTTCCATTCTTTTTTTCAAATTTAAATGGTGGTATGCCATTTTATGATTTCTTTCCTGCCGCCTCAATTGTTCACTTAGCTTCATTTTACCTGTATAGAAGAAGCAAATGGTGGTTGGTACATAAAATAAAAACAGTGAGCTACAAAGTGTGGCCTTAGGGACTCTTGCATTCGTGTCACATGGGATGATAAAACCCTGGGATAGGGAAAAGGAGCACTGTGGTTAGAACACTGTGGTTAAAGGGGTTAGGTGGCAAGAAAGACTGAAGAGAAAAGCAGGGCTGATAGACTGTGTGGAACTTTGCAGGACAGGGTAAGGCATTCCAAAGAGTAACAGGAAGCCACTTGAGGGTTTTGAGCAGAGTAATCAGATCTCATTTACATTTTTAAAATAACACAGCCGGCTGGACAAGAGACTATAGGTAGACACAAAGTGCAGTCTCCTATTAGGGAAAAATTTATTACAGCAGCCTGGGCAAGAGATGATGGTGTCCACAGTAACAGCAATAGTATATCGGACAACTATTTTGAAGATAGGATAAGCTCAGATTTGTTAATGGATTGAATGGGGTAAAAGACAGTGAAACGGAGAAGGAGAGGAAGAGGGAGAGGGAGGGGGAGGGGAGAGAGGGACATGAAACCAAATTTGCTGGCTTCAAGAACTGACTGAAATAGTAAACACTGAGCTGGGGAAGGAACTTGTGCATGTGTGTGGGGAGGGGAAGGAGCAGGGATGTTACACATGTTAAAAAGTCTTAGGTGCTATGAGTAGCTACGACTCATAGTGACCACAGAACAAAACATTGCCCGTTCCTGCATCATAATCCTGCATTCTCGTAATCTGCTTTGTTTGAGCCCATCGTTCAAGTCTCTGTGTCAATCCATCTTGTTGAGGGTCTTTCCCATTTTCGTTGACCCTTTACTTTACCAAGCGTGATATCCTTTTCCAGGGACTGGTCCCTTCTGACAATATGACCAAAGTACAAGAGACAAAATCTGTCCATTCTCACTTCTAAGGAGCATTCTGGCTGTACTTCTTTCAAGACAGACTGGTTCATTCTTTTGGCAGTTCATGTATATTCAATATTCAATAAAATGTCTTACATGCTATATTTTCTCCCAACATTTTATACTGAAAAATTTCAAACAAAGAGTAAATTGGAAAGAATTTTGCAGTGAATACCCATATACTCACCACCTAGATTCTACAATTAACATTCTACTGAACTCCTATCCAAGGAGCGCTGGTGATACAATGCTTTAGGCATCTGACTGCTAATCAGAATCTAGGCGGTTCAAACCCACCAATCGCTCTGCAGAAGGAAGATGGGGCAATCTACTGGAACAATTTATTCCCTCAGAAACCCAGTGAAGGTCACTATGAGTCAGAATTGACTTGATGGCAGTGGATTTGGTGTTTTTGTTTTTTTTTTTAGTTTAAACTCCTGTTCATCTATCCTCACCTCTACCCATCAATACATCAATACATCTTATTTGGTAATGCTTTTCAAAGTTAACTGCAGCTATCAGTGCAGTTCCCTTTTAACACTTCACCCTGCATGCCATTTGTTTCCAGTTTTTTCTTCTTATGTAAAATTTACATACAAAGTGAAAAGGACAAATCTTAAGTGTACATTTGCTGAATTTTGACTCACAGGACACACGTGTCTATACCTTAAATTTGAGATGCCTGTGGGCCATCGAAAGGCTCTCTCCTGGTGTAGTGGGTTAACCTAGTTCTGTTAATCAGAAGGTCAGTGGTTCAAACCCACCAGTTGCTCCGTGGGAGGAAGATGAAACAATCTATGTTCATAAAGATTTATAGTCGTGGAAATCCAATGGGGGTTACTATGAGTCTGAATCGACCTGATGGCAGTAGGTTGGGTATTTTTGGGTGGGACATCCAAGGAGCATAATCTGACAAGCTGCTGGATGTGGGAAATTTGGAGCTTAGATGGGAGGTAAATTTAGCAATCATGAGAACACAGCTGTCTTTAAGCTATGGGATTGGGTGAGATCGCCCAAGGAGTATAGAGAGAAGATAAAGGGGCCATGACCTCAAAGAACCCATGTTTATAGAGGTTGCTTAGGTGGCAGAGAGGTACCTGAGCAGAGGTCTGGGGTTGGACTAGCTCTAACACGCTGGCCTAGGCCCGGGTTCCCCTGAGTGGCTCTGCCTGGGACTCTGGGGCGGTCCTTAGTGACAGTACGAGGTAAGCTGAGATGTCACTGGGCAGGGGGGCAGGAGTGGGGAGAGAAAGTGGGGGACTCCCAGTTTGAGGCGGGAAGGTCTGTAGGCTAAGGAGGACGAAGAATAAGGGAAAGATGAGGAGTAGAGAAGGGGTACTGAGAAGCGGGAGATGGGAAGAAGGAAGAGGAACAAGGAGTTAAGTGGGAAGGGGAGGAGGAAGCACTAAGCAGGTCTGAGGAAGGGGAGAAGGGAAAGAAGGGGGGCACGGGGCGGCGGGAGGAGGCGGAGCCGCCGCAGCGGCCGGCCGGAGGGAGGGGGTGTGTGCGCGGGTCACATGGTCGCCGCTGCCCTCCCCGTCAGCCGCCCTCGCCGCCGCGGAGCACTGGCTGCAGGAAGCCGCCGCGTCGCTGCTTTTGTTGTCAGAGACCCCGGGAGGAGCACCGCTCGCCGGCCGCCGCCCGCTCCATCGCAGCCAGTTCTCTGGCCGCGGGGCTTAAGCGCCCCGCCTGCCCTGCTCATGAGGGGGACCCGCGACTGCTGCTGCTTCCAGCCTGGGGCAGCGCGGCGCTGAAGCTACAGCGGCGCTGCCCCCGCTGCAGGAAGCGGGCGGCCGCGGTCCCCGCCTGGAGGGCACCATGGAGGTCAATGCGGGTAAGAACTGGACTGTGGCGGGTGGGGAGGGTGGAGAGGGGGGCTCAGAGCCCGCTGGGCTTTTCTGGGGGCGGGAACAGGGGGTAACCTCGGGCCGGGAAGGGTGGACTGCTGCGTGCTGCTTGTCTACCCCGGGCTTCGCTCCCGTCGCTCCCCTGGCCGCCCCTAACCCGCCTTCCGGGCTCCCTGTAACGCCGCAGCGCGGCCCAGCTGCACCCGGCCCGGCCCCCCCCTCACATGGCCTGGCCGCGCGAGCCACGTGCGCTCTGTGTTTACGTTCGGCGGCGCGAGAGCGCCGGTTGGCTGGACGGGCGAGTGACGCGGCATTACATAATGGGCGCTGAGGCGGCGGCGGCGGGCGGGGACACGTGAGGCCGTTGGGCTTCTTGACCCACATTCCCCGGGGCCGCAGGGACACGTGGGCGTGGGTGCGCGCGCGCCAGTTGGGAGCGCCGCAACCTCCCGGGAGGCCCCGCCCCTTTGGAACCCTTTGGGCTGTGACGTGACCGTGATCCCTCCGCCTCCGTGGGGTTGCACACTGCGGAGGAGGATGCGCGTGCGCGCCTTGTGATCCTGGAGGTGGGTGGCCCTGAGACTGGCGCCGCAGTGCAGCAGCACTGCTCGCGCGGCCGAGGTGACCCAGACGTGCCAAACCGGGGCAAGGAGACAGACAGGCGCCCTGAGGGATGCTGGAGGCCGTTGACCTTGCAGATCCTTAAGAGGAAGTGCAGGGCGAGGGCGCGGCACATACTAAGGAAGGTGCATCCTGGGAGGTGCGGGGCTTCCCTGACGAAAAGACCGTAGACGGGAGTGGGATGCTTAGCCAGCCCCAAGATGTTCTTTTTTTTTTTTCCTGCCCCTCAAAGGGTTTCTTCCAGATCGCAACCGATCTCATACACCCTCAATTATTAATAAAACGGTTTGAAAAGCTCACCTGGTCGGGAACCTAATGTAAACGGGTCACATCTGTAGCGAATCATTCAGCTCACGTACAGTCAGGGCGACTCAGGTGATCATGTTGTTGTTATGTGCCGTCGAGTCGGCCCCCACTCATAGCGACCCCTCCTTGGGTTTCCGAGGCAGTATCACTACGGAAGTAGGATTGCCCAACCTTCCTTCCGAGGAGTGGCTGGTGGGTTTGAACCACCAGCCTTCTGGTTAGCAGTCAAGTGCTTTAGCCATTATGCTACCAGAGCAGGTGATCATAGGTGACATTATATAAGACCGTTCATTGTTTATTTAAACTAAGCCAGTGGGTCACTGATCTTTCCTGAACCTTATCAAAAGATTATAAATCTTCATGATTTCTTGTTTCATTTCAGAAGAACATTACCACTGAACTTCCTCTTTTCTGCTTCCAAACAAATGATGGATATTATACTTGTATACTCTGTCACGTGGGGTTGCTGTCAGTTGAAAATAGATTCCACAGCACCCAGCAACAATATGCCACAAACAAGTGAGCTTACAGAAGAAGCCAGTTTTCATTATACTTAGAATTTTTTATGTGGTACTCCAAAAACCATGACTTTATAACAAATGTATGAATTTTCAACCAAGAGCAAAAATAAAGTAGATTTCCAAATGTGTTTTTATTAAGGGCCTAGGTAGCCTTTGAAGGTACTTTTGAAAACTTAGTAACTCTGTCGTGGAATCAAATAGGTGATAGGTACTTACAGGCTAATTCAACCTCTTCTCGCTCAGCCTTTAGCATGAATTATTTCAGCTTTGCAAACTCCCAAGATTGACTGGCTCAGATGGTTAGAAAATTTTTCTCTGGGATATGAAATCAGTCACAGATCTTAAGCTTGCATTTTGGAGCTACAACTTTTAAAACTTGTCTGGATGACTTTTGATCATCTTCATTTCCATTGCTAGTTTCCTGGTCCTCCCTCACCCTGTGTTGTTTTTCTTGATCACTAATCATCCTGGTGGTTTTTGGTGTGTGGCTCTCAGAAGTGGATAAAATCCCGTGGAAGTAGTTTCACCATTACCATCTGTCCTAGTTGGCCTTTCAATGTTAAACCATTGCTTCTAGGAAAAATACAGCATTAAGTCCCTATGAGCCTCTGGTCACAACATTTTTGTCAACAGATTAATATACAACCTCGTTTTATATGTTTTTCTGTTTAAAGGCACCTTATTTAATATACTTAGCTCATTAACATTCTTGAGCTTCTTAAGGAGCTCTGGTGACGCAGTAGTTAAAGCATTCGATTACTAGCCAGAAGGTTGGTGGTTTGAACCTGCTACCTTGCCCTGAAGGAGAAAGATGAGGCAGTCTGCTTCCATAAAAATTTACAGTTTTGGAAACCCTTTGGGAGAGTTCTCTGCCCTATAGGGTTGCTATGAATCAGAATAGACTCAGTGCCAATGAGTTTGGTTTTCTTTTCCTGTGAGTGAATTCTGTTAGGTTTATTTTGTTTTAATATACAGGCAGTCCTGGAATAAATTGTCTTTAAGTGGAATTTGTAGGTGAGTTGGAATAGGTGCTTATGGTTCTTAATTAGTCTTGCTTTAGTGCTACTTTATTATTTTAATTTTACATTGTGATTTGGGTGCACATTTACAAAGCAGATTCATTTTACTCTCAACAGTTCATGCACATTTGATTTCATGGCACTGATTACAATCCCAACAATAAAAAGCTCACCTCCCATCTCCTCCCTGTGACTACCCCATCCGTGTATCTATGCATTCTGTCTGTCCAGTTTTTCCTTTGTGCAAATGCTGCCCTTCTAATGTCTCATGGGTGATTGATCTAAAGAGTGTGTCTCCCTAGGATAGGTGGGTGCATCTTCTTGGAGTAGGTGTTAACGCTTGTAGGCCTTTCTTCTGTTTGGCTGAGAGTTAACCTATGGAAGTGAGTCAAATTCTAGGCCCACAGGATAACTTGAGGTATAGTGTTGGGGGTTCCACCAGTCTCTCTCTGACAAGTAATTCTGGTCATCTTTGTGTTTTGGAATTTTCTGCATTTTTCCTCCGACTCTATCCAGGATCTCCAATTTTGATCCCTTTCTGAGTGGTTGGCATTGGTAGCCAGGCACCACCTAATTCTGGTCCCAGGGTCATCAAGGCTGAGGTTCCCATGGTCCATCATAACTTTGGACAAATTGTTTCTGTATGACTGATTTTCTTCACTTTTCTTAGCTCCAGATGAGGGGAGACCAATAGTTGCATCTTAGACGGCTGCTCAGAGCTTTTAAGACCCTAGTCACTATTCACCAAAGTGTGTAGAACAAGATTTTTATGTACTATATTGTGTCAGTTGAGCTTGATGTCCCCTGAGACGATGGTCCTAAGCCCAGAAGCTTTACTTACCCATACCTAATCTTTATTCCTGTTTACCTACCCATACCTAGTCTTCTCACCTGTCTATGCATTTAGCCATAGACTAGTGTTTGTTGTTACTAGTAATGCAGTATTGTGTATCTAATAGTGTTTGCCTCTGTTGTCTATATCTTTTGTGCTTTAGTGCTATTTAAAAGGTGATTGTGATGAAGAATTCTTGCGAGTAGACTATGGGTTGGTTCAGTGATTTCAAAGTGAGAGCAAATTTAAAACCAAAAAACACCCACTGCTGTCAAGTCAATTCCAACTCATAGTGACCCCCACTGGGTTTTCCAAGGCATTAAATCTTTATGGAAGTAGATTGCCCAGTCTTGCTTCCATGGAGTGGCTGGCAGATTTGAACCACCAGCCTTCTGGTTAGTAGTCAGATGCCTTAGGCACTGTGCTATCAGAGCTCCTTAAGGGCAAAATTCCTTAATTTTAAAGGGCAAATAGAAGTTGTATGTGAGTTAGATGTTTGTAACCCGTGGACTGCCTATGTTAAACCATTGCTTCTAGGAAAAATACAGCATTAAGTCCCTGTGAGCCTCTGGTCACAACATTTTTGTCAACAGATTAATATACAACCTCGTTTTGTATGTTTTTGTTTAAAGGCACCTTATTTAATATACTTAGTTCATTAATTGAACTCATGGTGAACAGCACCATAATTCATGATTGAACAAAGCTTATCTAACACATGAATTTTCTCCATAGTGCATACCACATCCTTCTTGCACTTAGAAACACTAGATAGCACTTGGCTATTACAGTTGGGGGCATTTTAAACAGCAAAATCACCAACAGAAAGCGCAAAAAAGTGAAAAACAAGGGCCACCAAACAAAAACAATGCTGGTTAACAATATGAGAGCAGAAACAAGGCAGTGTGTTGCCTTGTTCAACCCCAGCAAGCATGTATGCATTGGGTAACTCCACTTATTTTGCACCCTGAGCATGTTTAATTGTCTGGGTTCCATGAGTATTGATTTTGGAGATACAAATCTTAGTGAAAAGTGAATAACTCCGCAAATAATGAGGATCACTTATATCTTTCTTAAATTTTCTTTTTTTCCATTTAGCCCCCAAGTTTAAAGCTACCACAGGCTGTCACCCTGTATATTAATGATTTTTGTCATCTGTCCGTCAAAGGTAGCTTTGTTAAACATTCTTTTTAATGTCTTTAAATTGCTGTTGCGAATGCTGACTGGGGCCACATTCATTGCTATGTGGAACATCTGTGGCCCTATGGGTTGATAACAGTGTGTCATTGGATACATTCAGCCAGTGACCATTTCATCCATCTGTCCTGTACTCCATTATACAGCTCTTCCAGGACTTTCAGCTAGTTCATTCTTGTTTCACCCCCTGCTGAGAATTTGCATTTCAACCCTAAATACACTGAATCATAATCCACATTTTAGTAAGATCCCCAGGTGATTCTTATGTAAAAGTTGGTGGTCCTGTTGTCTTAGGGGCAAAAGACATACGGTATAGGTACACTTGGTTTGAAGTAGTAGAGTAGCATAGTGTCATAATTGATGGAAAGGATAGTCTGCAGAGCCTCCCAATGTAATAATTTATCTCCATTATAATCTACTTGCTAGTTAGTTCTGGCTATTTTTCAGACACCAGATTATGCTTGGTATCCCTTTTCTGGGAATTCACATAT